TATATATATATGCGCAAATGTGTTGTCCGTCCAACGTTTTCTTTTATATGTCGTGCACGACTGTTAGACGCATAACAAATCGTGTCACGTATTATCATTACGCAAATTCACTCACACATATTTCACACACGCGATTTACTAACGAATTTATCAGTTTGTTATTATTAATCACTACCGATTAATTAATTAGCGATTGAGAATTAATCCAAGAAGAAAACACATTACAGTAATCAATAATCAAAGGTTTTCCTCCTTTTATAAATTGTATCGCTTATCAATACTTTCACGGATTTATCCACGCACTTGATTGATTTTTACATACGAATCTTTTACATACAAATCGATGAATCACTTCCGATTAATTATTTAGTGACTGTAAATTATTGCTTGAAAGAAGGAAACGCATTGCACACAGTATTTGTATGCAAAAGTTTTCTTTCTTTTGTAAATTGTATTACGTAACACAATACGTTCAAGCATAAATCCGCCGATTTTTATAAATGAATTTATTGGCTCACTGCTATTAATCACTGCCGATTAATTATTCGGCAACTGAGAAGTACTTCAAAGAAGGAAATACGAATTGCACACGACAATCACGATCAAATTCCATCGCAAATCAATACGGTTACGGATTTACACAGGCACTTGAACGAAAAAAGACGAATTTATTATCCTTCTTAATCACAATACAATACTACCGATTAATTATTTGACGAGTTGAAATTACTTGAGCGTGTAATATTACATACACAACACACGTTACTCGACACGGAGGTTACTCGATGTCAACAAGTCAACAAATTAGGTTGGTACTGGGTGCGTTCGTGAATGCGCACACGGCGCTGTAGGTAAGGTACCATTTATCCTCCTTAAGGCTGCGTCCCCATGGAGAAAGAAACAGCGGAACGGAATGTTGATAGAAAAGAGATAGGATTATCCTACGTCTGGTATTTATTCCTGCACTGCCCGCATTGGTGCACACGGTGCAATAAATTGAAGTGAAGCAAACGTATGACAGTTCAGACAGTGCAGGAATAAAGAAGAGACCGCTTATTTGTATTTGATATACAACAGAGGTCTGGAATGATGCATTATTTATACTTGTATATTTTATAAACAACAAGGATGAAATGATGCTTGCATCGAACGCTTCCGATGATCACTGCAAAATCCAACTGACGTGAACTGGTGTGAAACGCTATCATGTCCTGTAATTGACTGAAGTCTCCGCATTGAGAATGCGACAATTTAAAAAAATTGTAAAAACATAATTCTTTAATGGAAAAAGAATGGTATTTTACAATACATTCTTACAAGTGAAACATAAAAATATGTTATAAAATACCAATTTTTTTTTCATACTATGAGAGAACATTAATCAATGAAAGTTTAATCTCTTGCTTTCTCTCACACTTTTGCGAATGTAAAATATTCTACGTAAAAATGTATTGGTCGCTCTGAAAAGAGCGGGTTATTTCTTATCGCTCTGAAAAGAGCGGATTTTTCATTTTACAGCAGGTGCTCAAAGTGAGCACCATCCATCCTAACGCAAGCTCTCATTCGTTTTAATAAGTTTGCTTGGACGTTTTCCATAATATTTTCTTCGATGGCCCAAATAGCATGTTGTAATCTCGCATCTAAATCGTCGATATTCTCAGGAAGCGTTTTGTAAATTTGTTCCTTACAATATCCCCATAAAAAAAAGTCTAGAGGATTCAGATCCGGGGATCTTGCGGGCCAGCGTATTGGGCCATACCGTCCCATCCATCGTCTTGGGAACTGCTCATTCAAGTAATTTGTTACAATTCTGGCGTTGTGTGGTCCAGCACCGTCTTGTTGAAAAACTATTTTGTTTCTGTCCAATAACGGTACTTCTTCTAAAAAATCTGGAAGATTTTCTCTTAAAAGTTCCACGTATCTATCGCCATTTAAGATGACCAGAAGAACCACCGGTCCTAGGATTTCAGTTCCCATGATTCCAGCCCACAGATTTCTCTTCCAACGAATTTGAAAGCTCTTCGATCGCGTGGCTGTGGGATTTTCGTCGCTCCACAAATGCATGTTGTGCGAATTGAAAATACTTTCTCGTGTGAATAGCGATTCATCGCTGAATATCACACGGGACGGGAATGTAGGATCTCGATCTGTTTCTCTTAGAAAATATTCGCAGAATGTTCTTCTTGCTCGGTAATCTTCCGGTTGCAAATGTTGTACGCGTGTGTAGTGGAATGCGTGCAACTTTTCCTCTTGCAATATCCTATGTACAGTTACTCGTGACAAATTATGTTCTCGAGCAACGATCCGAATACTCAATTCAGGATTCTGTTCGAAAGCACGTAAAACTGCCTCCGTATTCCGTAAATTTCTTGCTTCACGATCTCTTCCAGCATCGTGTTTGTTTACCAGGACACTGCCAGTTTCGTAGAGTCTCTGAGCTGCTCGAAGTATGACGCG